GGTCAGCTGGATTTTTTTCCTATGTTGTAGTAATTTAATAATTTTGCATTTTATGTTTAGGTCTATTATCCATTTTGAGTAATTTCTGTAAAGGTGTAAGGTCTGTGTCTAGATTCATTTCTTTGCAAGTTAATGTTCAGTTGTTCCAGCACCAAATGTTGAAAAGACCATTTTATCCTCTATTCTTTGCTCCATTAAGAACAGTTGATAAATGCTTATATGAATCTGTTTCTAAGCTCTGCATTCTTTTCCACTAATCTATTTGCCTCTTCTTTCACCAATACTACACAATCTTGATTATTGTATTTGAAATACAGTGAATGCATTTGAAATTCAATAAATGCTACCTATGTGTTGTGTCAGTGGTTTAAAATTTTAACAGTCGAATTAGCAAATATTAACCGAAATATTTGGAAGGAGCCATTTATTCTTAGTGGGGCAACTTTCATGTGTGTGGATTTGTGTGCTTATAAGTAAGGACATTGTGTTATACATGTGGTATAGTAATTTTTTTCTAGAAAAGAATCTTCTAGTTCATATGATATCTTCATCATTATAGTAGCTAATACTTCCATAGTTCTCACTATGTGCCAATCACAAGTGTACCACATGTTAATCTCATTAAATCTTCATAGAAGCCCTTATGTTAATGCCATTTGACAGATGAGGAAACTGAGGCACAGAGAAGTTAACTCCAAGGCCACGCAACTAGTATATAGTATTGTCAGGATTCCAACCCAGGCAGTCTGACTCCAAAATCTGTGCTTTTAACCACTACACTATCAGTGTTCCCTGGTATCCCCTTAGCAAATATTACAATTACTATTCATCTATCAAATCACTGGTAAAAGGAATAAAAGAGCCTCAGTTTGCTTAATCTTAAATAAGAAGTATCAGGAATTAGAAGTCACCATTTACTGATGTCAATTACTAGGTGAGAAATATCAGGACTAACTGTACCCATTCAAGAAATACTGACAGAAAAGTTTTAAAGAGGAGTATTAGTAAAATACTGAAAGTCATTTGTCTTCAAGTATTTAACTGCTGATCTGAATTTTAATAATAATTTTCTCTGAGGCTCTGAAAAGTATGCTTTCTCTGTACTAATTTATTATAAATTGATAAATGATTTGTGAAATAGAGAAAGAAAACTTATTCTTTTATTGTCTATAAATAAAGTCAAAATAGAAAGTGAAGATATCAGTTAGATGACTAAGTTATACACAGCTGACCCTTGAATAATGGGAGTTTAGGGGTACTGGTCGCTCTGCACACAGAGTTGAAAATCCGCATATAATTTGACTTTCCCAAAACTTAACTACTAATATTCTACTGCTAACCAGAAGCCTTACTGATAACATAGTCAGTAAACACGTGTTTTGTATATGTTGTTGTATACTGTATTCTTGGAATAAAGTAAGCTCTTAGAGAAATCTTGTCACCAATCTTCAAGAACATTTCTAATGTACTAATTGAAAAAAATCCATGTATAAGTAGATCCACAGAGCTCAAATTTGTGTTGTTCAAGAGTCAACTGTACTCTTAGACTTTTTTTGTGTTTAGAATGCTTTCTTTAGCTCTTATTGTCTAAACATTCAATATTTGAAACTTTGATTTTAAAGTCAAAGAGCACTCTTATTTCTGTAAAAATAATTCTATAGTTACTATTAAAGCATAATGTCCCAAGTAAGGAAGCTTTATTAAAGTGATTGAAAATAAAATATAATGTCATTAGAATTTTTACTTAGTTCTGGCTATGTAAAAATTATGGCTCCCTAAAATAGTGACATATTTCTTCTAAATATATTATTAAGCACAAAAACTTTATTGCTGTTAACTTTGATACAGTAATAACAAATAAGTTTTCTGATTTGGTGAACAAATTAAAATTATTTCTTTGAAATAGATTATAAGTTGCCTTTTGTTAGAGATGAACCATTCCTGCTCCATCATGAGAATTTGGCCTTGTCAACCATAAACATTAAGGAGAAGACTGACTCATTGTAATTTTCTTTCAATAAAGGGAAGAGAATTGTGTTTTCATGGGAAAAAAACCTCATCCATGTTTGAGTAGCAAAATAAAAATGTTAAAATACAAACACTAATTTCATATCTTTGTTAGAAATATAGCAGCCTTAAAGAAATTTAAGGAAAAATATGTTGTTACCAATTCAAGCCAGTTTTTATTCTTAAATTTTCTGCCAGACATACACATAACTGTAAAATCAAAAAAGCATAGGAATTTATTTTACTCCTAAATAATGTTTCAAATAATCTATTATGTAGTATTTGGGGTTTTATTTTTTAAAAATATTGAATGAGGGGACTCTTTTGTCCTCTCCTGGCGTGAGCCAAGAGCTCTGTCCTTCCGCTTTCTCTCTAAATAAAAGCCTCTGCCTTGCTTTCCTAAAAAAAAAGCATTAAGTGAGCTTTGTTCACACCTCTGCTTCATTTTCTCTAAAGGCTGACACTACTGTTCCCTTTTACATTCTCTATTTTTATCATGATAATTATTAACAGATGACATTTGCACTCCCCACCCCCATTTAAAAACATTCATTTCACACAAATTTAGATAAGGAAAATATAATGTGAAGTGATTGTGTAATGGATTTTCTACCCCTAAGAGCTAAAGGCTATAGCTCAGACTGAAAAAGTGAATGTTAGAATGAAATGTCTCCAAAGTATCATGTAGTTTAATAATGATCATATTGATCCATTACCCTATCGCAGCTAATTGCAATGAGTATATTTGTGTATGTAAATTTTTTCTTCAAAGTATTTTCTAAGGACAGAATTACAGAGCTTAAAAATTATATTTAATACCTCTTCTCAAATATTTTAAAGAATTACATTGCTGGTTTTACCAAAACCTAGTTTAATTATTTAAAATCTTAAAAGTGTAATTCCTTCTTTCTTAACTTGAAATTTCCAAGTTGAAGTGAATTCTTGCTTTTCAACCTAACCACTATGATTACTTTTGTGTGTGATATTTGAAAAAGTATGAAAATTCCTGACTACCCTTCTCTTATGCGTAGAGAGCCAGATTTCTTTCCACTTGTTAATATGTATTCTCAGAAATGTGAAACATCTAATCTTTGACTTTTAAAATCATTTACTATGTCAAGTCCATTTAATTAATACTTCTAGCTCTCTGAAAAGTTGAATCAAGTAAAAGTCTACTTTTTTTCTCCCAGCATTACCTCCAGTACAATTCAGACTTTCCATGGTAATGTCATTGTTTCTTTCATATGAATATTTAAAAGAACTCTCTTGGAAATTAATTCTAGAATAGGTGATTTTTGTTATATTTTTACTCTAGATCCTGATCCTCGCAGTGGACTCCCAACTAGTAGTATGTGCTTTTTTTTAAAGTAGAGTCTTCGGTGACTTTGCATATTAGCATTTTTCTCTAAGTTTTTGGATTTGAAAATTAATCTTTTAACATTGAGTATTCCTTGGTGAGACTAAAAAAATTTCCTGAATAGCTGACAAACCTCTAACCTGTAAGTAGGCTAGGTAGATGTTGCACATTTCTAATACCCCAAGGTGTTTCTAAAGTACAGAGTTTTGAGAAATAGGAAATTCTAGCTGTCACAATGCACAAAAATGAACATTCTGAAAGAATTGCTAAATCATTAATATAAAGCTGCTTGGCTTATAGAAGTAGGTATTCCTATATCTTTAAAGGTCAACATGTTCATCACGTTTTCATTATACTCTAAACATATATGTAAATTTACTTTCCCTCATAAATGTTTCTTTATAGGGCTTAAGATATTTTTAGTATCTATGCAATTCTTTTCTTATTTATCTTTCCAATATTATATTACAAATGGGAACATTTTTGAAAAGATGAGGAAACCATATAGGACATAAAAGATGAGCTATAAACATTGAAGATATTTCTCATAAATATTCAAAATATATATAAAAAGCAGGCATCAAAAGGGTATATAAATGATATATTAACTGTTAATAAAAAACAAATACAAAAAGCAAATAACCATAAATATTAATAAGAAAAAAGGGTTAGATGAAAATACACTAACATTTAGTAAGGATTACCTGAAGTGGTATGATAGGGAGTTTTTTATTTTATTCCTTTTTCATTCTTTTCCAAAATCTCCAGTAATAAGTATATTTATAATTAGAGAACATGTATTTTTCAAAGAAAAATATTGCTTGTATTACTGACCTGTAAATAGCATATCCAGATTTTAAGCTGATCTTATAAGATTTAAGGTCTTATAAGAAATAAGAATATTTACTGCCTGTAACCTGCTACTTTCTGCTATCTTTCCTATAGCACAAAAATTATTTAAATAGTGACCCTACGAAGAGGTGTCTCTGTGTGTGTTGTTTTAGTTTGAAGTAATTAGAACCAGATATGAGGCTTTCATAAACATTAGTTTGCCAGAACTATTAACTCTTATATATTATGAAAACTAATTAAAATCATTAGCTAAAATCATATTCAAGTCCTTTACTTATTTAAAAATATTCCTTTTGATGTTTATGATATATAATCTTTTGCAATGTGAAATTCGTATATTGATTTGACTTCCTGGCATTTGATTGATAGACCCCAGGAATTTTTTAAATGACACAAATTACTTGCAAATTTTAAACAAACCATATTTTAGTATTGTAGATCTTACATTTGAATAACTTGAAATTAAAATACCTGAAATAAGTTCAAGGGCACTTTTATTTACATAACTTTAAACTATTTCAACATAGGGTGCTTATGGCTATAATTATTTTTGTTTCTTTTTCACCTAGAATGGATTAAATGCATAGTTACGACATTGTGTGCTGAAATTGGTTTCTCAATTCGTTTGGCCTCGTAAAAAGTAAATAAAAATGGTAAAGCCAAAAGGAAAATGAATAGTTAATCATGGAGGTGGAGAAAACCTAGCTCAATACTTTGGCTAGAGGCTAGAGGCAGCTAGGGAAGTGACGTCCTGTAGCATTTGCTGTTCTAGAAAGTACAGAGACACGTAGTGAAAATGGGAGGATCTAGAAGGAGGCCGTCTCCTGTGTAGTGTATATTTATCTGTAAGTGAGCTGTTGGGGAAGGAATTAAAGGCAGAGACGCTGTCTGCTTGCTGCCTTAAGACAGCAAAGCTGAATTGCTGATTTGCTTTAACTTTTAAAATACCCAGCTTGGTTTATTTTTCCTAGAATCATTGTATTGCTAAGACTGGGGACGCTGTTTTCTTTCACAAAGGGAAATCTAAGTTCATTTCACGGCATTCGAAATGGGGAAAGACTATTACTGCATTTTGGGAATTGAAAAAGGAGCTTCAGATGAAGATATTAAAAAGGCTTACCGAAAACAAGCCCTCAAATTTCATCCAGACAAAAATAAATCTCCTCAGGCAGAGGAAAAATTTAAAGAGGTTGCAGAAGCTTATGAAGTATTGAGTGATCCTAAAAAGAGAGAGATATATGATCAGTTTGGGGAGGAAGGTAAGTATTCTGTGTATATCTTTGTGACTCTCCAGCTCTGTGTCTTTCTCTTTTTTTCTTTCTCAGCTTTCTGGTTATCATTAAATTAAATTCTGAGACATGTCAGAAATACAAAGATAATTAATGGATAAAAAAAGATTTCACCCATGATCATATATATGAATGAATATTACATAGCTGTGAATGAAATTTACTTGTTTGCCTTTTTGGGGGGATTTGGGCATTTTGTAATATCCATATTCTACCACTAGATTTATAATATTAACATTATGTGTTTGAAAAGAAACCTTAAATTCCTATACTCATTAATGAATTGTGTCAAAAGTCTTATGCAACCTTTTTTTTTTTTTTCTAATAAATTTTCTGCCAGAACCTATAAAGATCCTTCAATAATTTAAAATCCTAAGCCTGGCAGTTCAAATTCTAACTAATCTATATTTTATTTACAAAAACAAAAGAAATTTTTTGCCTTTCTTATAGCAAAGCTACTTTAGATTGAACAAGGCAGAATCATCTCTATGAGAAGCAGAAGGCCCAGGCATTTAGCTCTAGTTGATTTTGGCATTCTGCCTGGAGAGGAAAGAATTTTCCTGATGTCATGAAATACCAGAACAAGTTTTTAGCTTAATTGTAAACAGTAATTTTGTGCCAAGAAAATGAGATCTCAGAAATACAGTTTTTGACCTAAAATGGCCACCTAGTTAGAAAACAGTTATTGGTTTACTTTTTGAAACCATTATTTCTTTCGAAACTTTACTATCTAGGTATAAGAAAGCATGACAACTTCCCTTTGCTCTCCCTGACATACTTTTTTTTCTTGCATTATGAGATCAGAAACTGGTTGAATATAGTAAAGGGGGATAATTTAAGATTATCCTTTTATCGTTCTGGATCTTAAGTTTGTTCATCATCTGCATATAAATGTAGCTATAAAGTAAGACTTTTAAATTGCTAATTAAAAAACAACTACAATAACACTTTAATTCCTACAGGTTGCAGGGTTTTCAACTTTTAAAATCAGGACTAAGTTATTTCAATATTTTTCTCCCAAAATATTCTCTTTTAAATCATTGTAGTTATGAAAACTTTTGTGTTCTTTGCTTCCTTTAATTTAAAAATTTCCCTTATTAAAAATATATTAAATACAATAAAGCAGTGACTGCTTATTTTGAAGTAAAAAAAATTATGTAAAAGCAGGGTGATGGTATAGAGGGCTTTTTTTCTTGTTTGTTTTTCTTTTTGATCTGAGTTGCCAAAAATTGCAGTTTCTGCTACTGGTTTTGGTGTAATGAGGACCTGCTTCAGGTCCTTACCAAGTAAATATTGAAAAAGGCAGAAAATGGGCAGTTCGATCCTGCTGGTTCCTTTTGGCCAGACTATTCAAAATACTATGATTTGGTTCATCTCATAAGCTAAGCAGGATTCTGAGATACTTCTAATAATGTACTACTCTTTCCAAAGAAGTTACTTTGTAAAAAAAATCCACAAACATGGAGTAATACTATAAATTGCCATGGAAAAGCAGATGTCTCCTGCCTTAATCCATAACTCACTGATAGCTCAAATTTGTCCATGACTAAACCATAGGATTATTCAGTGTTTACTAAGTATATTTGTGTTCAGAATTTTCAAGTTAACCAAATGATACATTTTTCTTGGTTTAACCTTACCTCTTAATAGGGTTTTTCTTGAGTAGTATTTCTCCAATTTGATTTTTACTGGTTGTCACCAGTGAATAAATTTTTAAAGAACTAATACAATATGTACCCTGTATCTGGTTTTATTGTGATTCAGGTAATTAATATAAGCAATAGAGGTAATAGTGAGGGGAGAATACCTTTTTTAAAGCATTGAAATGTGTTACTCAGAAATATTCTTTAGTTAAAAGCTATCTGAAAACAATTAAATTAATTTGATAATTTTTTAGAAATGATTTTTCCTTCACAGAAAAGCATTGTATTTATTTGCTCTTTATTCAGAATATCTCAATAATTCTTTTTAAAAATCCCCTTTGGGTATTCTGTGAAAATGTGGGGGAAAAATTTTTCTCTTTGCCTCTGATTGGTCTGTTTGTGCCTGCAGACCTGATTCCATAGCCCTGTGAATTTCTCCAGTAGTAATAAAACACCGAATTTTAGGACTGTGGAACTGTTAGTAATTTACCTGATACACTTGTTTTGTTTTGTTTTGTTTCCAATTATTATACTTTCTTTCAAGGCCTGAGACAGTGGAAATAAAGATCCATAAACTGAGAAGTATATAAGTTGTATATGCCAAATTTATATATTTAGAAACTAAGAGAACCAGTGATCTAGCTTATTCATGTCTTGAAAATCTCTTAACATCCACAGTTTTAAATGCTGGGTTTTTTAAAAGTTGGGTAAAAATAGAAATGTTTTAAATTTACCATATGACCCAGCAGTTCGACTCACAAGAATCTATAAAAGAGAAATGAAAATATAAGTCCACGCAAAGACATTTATGTGAATATTCATAGCAGCATTATTTGAATGGCCCCACACTGGAAACATTCCAAAAGTACCATCATTTAGTGAATGGATAAACAATATATGGCATATATGGATGTGTATATACACATACACACACACATACACAATGGAATGTTACTTAGCAATTAAAAGGACCAATGTAATGAAACATGCCACAACATGGATGAAATTCAAAAACTATGCTAAATAAAAAGTCAAATGTAAAAGACTATATATTCTATGACCCCATTTATATGAAATGCATGGAAAAGGCAAATTTATAAAAAAGCAAGCACATCAGTGGTTGCTCAGAACTAGAGGTGGAAGCAGAGATTAGCTACAAATAGAAACTAGAGAACTTTGGGTTGATGGAAATGTTCTGTAACTGGATTTTGGTGATGGTTGCACAACTCTAAAACTTTACTAAAATCATGAATTGTATATTTACAATTAATTATAGTGTGTAATAAAGGTATTTTTTAAAATACAGAAATTTTCTCCATAGTTGAATAGTTTGAAAACAAAAAAATACAAAACTATAGAAATTTAAAATTGGATTTTGAACTAATGTCTCCCATAAAGTTTGAGGTTTAGTTTTGAATTGTTCAGTGGATGTCAACAGAAGTTTGTATTAAAAGACTTAAAAAAAAAGATTTTCATTTAAATTTTAAAAAAAAAGATTTTCAGTAACACATTCCTACAGTATTCTAGTATTTAGTATCTACTCCAATATTTATTTTTCTTTATAGCTTCTTTTTTTGTTTATACTCAATAACTTAGCTTTGAATAAAGATAGGTACTATTTATATAATCAAACTTGAATTCAGTATATTTTTCTTTATACTAGATTGCTCTTCTGTTCCTTATGAATTTATCAAATGGATCTCTTTGCTTACTATGTAGTTCTAAAAATAAATTGGATTTTTGTAAATCAAAACTAAAGATCTCATATGCTAGTAACTCTGTGAGTCTTGCTATAAATCTGAATTTTTACATATTAGATCGCCTTAAAATAAGTTATTAAAGTGCTGTAATTTTTTCATTGAAATCCTAATTCTTCTCCAATGCTTCTTTTGATAAACTTTTAGTCAACTAATTAGTGGAAATCACTGTTGCAGCTAGTATCCCCAACATATACACAGTTTTGGATTGCAAATTGGTTGGTTGGTTATTTTTAAAATAATAGTAGTCTTGCTGCAGCCAAATATTGATTCTATGTTGATTCTAGAGTGCATTCCTTGATTCTACAAAGTAATGATGGTGTCTAGAAAACAGTTTGAATACCGGAGGAAATCCAGTTGAATATTGCAATTTTCCATGAGCAGTCAAAATGTATATAATAAAGAATTGACTGTATAGTTAACATGCCTGTTACAATTCAAGTCCTAGGGATGCAAGTGATACTTGCATAATAATTCATGTTACATTGGTGTAAATTTTGGTAGGATTCTCTCAGTCATTATAGTAGCTTGTCCTTTATCTGAGCTATGTGATTGAGTAGTGTCAAGGAAAACCTCAAAGCTCCATTGGAGGCTTTTTGTCCGCTTTGATAAATGTCACTTTAGACAGTGTGTGAACCTTTTCAGGGACTCTGTAAGCCTGATTGAATTACCATTTTTGGCAGAGGAGGGAAGGGGTTTTGAGGAAAAGCCAAACCCATGATGTAATAATTTGAAATGTTATTCTTTCTTTTCATGAATCCATCAATGGGTCCAAAACATTTAGATTTTGTTTTGTAGAGGGTTAGATTAGGCAAGCTAATTTACTCAATTTACTTTATTCTCTGTTAAATTGTTGTACTCTTATATTTATAGGATGAAAGATGAAATGATTGAAATAATTTAGTTACATTGGTGATCATCTTGAATTATATACTCATCCTATCATTTTAAAAATATTTCATTAGCTTTTTAGCATTTGGAGTTATAACTGTACCACTAAAATTTATAGTAAGTTTTGGATGAGCTGCTGTTAAAAGTTATTGTCCTGCTTATGCTTGTCATTCTGTTTCTACAGGGAATATCCCTAATTGCTATTTGGATATATCATTTAGTACATATTTTGGCAATTTTTAGGTTATTAGATTTCCCTTAGTCTCTCCAGATTTCTATTCATGAACAAAGGTAAAAATTTAAGCAATTAGCTGAGACTGTTAGATAAAGTAGAAGACATGTATGCCTTTTAATGGAAGAAGCCGAATAGAATAAGACGTGCAAAATTTAGTCTCTTCAGGAGCATGATAATTCCAGTAATGTTTTATTAGATCTGTCATATATGTGTATGTGTGGTTATAATTTATATTGCTATTGCTTCTGCCTCTTCTATTCTGACACTCAAGACACTTTAAAGTTTAAATAGGTGACTTTAAGAATTAGTTCATTCCCTTTATTCAATAAACATGAGCAACCTATCATTTTCAGTCCTGTGTACATGAGTAATTAAAACATGAATAAAATGCATTTCCTGCCCTCAAATTACCATTTTTGGCAGAGGGTTAAATTACCATATTTGAACATACTGGAATCCCTTAATTTCTTGAACTTTTCACAGTTTTATAATTTTATATTCTGTTCCTGCTTGTTTCCTTGGTCAGGCATGCTCATAAAGCTCATTCAGACACTTTGCTGATACCATAATGATTTAAATCATGGTCAGTATTGATCCCTTAAAAGATCACTGTACTTTCATTTTGTGGGTTTTAGTAGAATCTTTCTTTGGTATGTAGCAGAAAATACTGCTTCAAATATGTAATCCTTTGTGAGCTGCATATTACTTAAATCTTAGAGAACCAGGGTCAAAGAATCACTAGCTTGCTGTCTGAAGCAGGTTGTCCACAACAGATGGAAATAACCAATCCACAGGCCTTATATCTCAAGAGAGTTTATAGCTTTTGATCTCAGTCTTCTTTCTACATGCTGTTGAAATTAATGCTGTCACGCCTACATAAACAATTTTCTTATTTAGGATAAGGATAACAATTTTAGTGTCTATAAGAACATTTTCCATAGGGTGTCCTATTATCAGGATGTTTTCCCTTTCTGTCACAGAAAGAATTCTCCTTTAATTCTTGAATGGTTAAAGATGATCTGAAATAAAGCTAGTTTGAATGGTATTTTGTATTACTGGTTGTACTCATTATAATGGTACTTAAAAGATTTAGGCTATGCATTTTATATTTGATTACTGAAGGCTTTTGCATTGATACCTTTTAAAAACTTAAATTTATATACTTAAGATTATCAAACCAGTAGTTTAGGAGATAAACCCCCAATTTTTATTTTCTTACCTGTGGGATAAAGATTCGGCAATAAATTGTCATTAAAAGGGGATTTAGAGGAAGCTAATTTTTATTTTGAAACTAAAAATTTAACTTAGGATGGAATGACCAGAAATTATGTAGCTGTTCTTAATTAGTTAAAATGTCATTTCTAGCCAATGTTAATAAATTACAACATAAGTTGGCCAAAGTTTATTAGTAACACAATTTTTGAAAGCTTAACTTTAAAGAATTACAAGCTTTTTTCTAACCATACTTATCTCTTCATTTAGGATTGAAAGGAGGAGCAGGAGGTACTGATGGACAAGGAGGTACCTTCCGGTACACCTTTCATGGCGATCCTCATGCCACATTTGCAGCATTTTTTGGAGGTTCCAACCCCTTTGAAATTTTCTTTGGAAGACGGATGGCTGGTGGTAGAGATACTGAAGAAATGGAAATAGATGGAGATCCTTTTAGTGCCTTTGGATTCAGCATGAATGGATACCCAAGAGACAGGAATTCTGTGGGGCCATCCCGCCTCAAACAAGATCCTCCAGTTATTCATGAACTTAGAGTATCTCTTGAAGAAATATATAGTGGTTGTACCAAACGGATGAAGATTTCTCGAAAAAGGTTAAACCCTGATGGAAGGAGTTACAGATCCGAGGACAAAATTCTCACCATTGAGATTAAAAAAGGGTGGAAAGAAGGCACCAAAATTACTTTTCCGAGGGAAGGAGATGAAACACCAACTAGTATTCCAGCAGACATTGTTTTTATCATTAGAGATAAAGATCACCCCAAATTTAAAAGGGATGGATCAAATATAATTTATACTGCTAAAATTAGTTTACGTGAGGTAAGTTATTAGGACCTAGGATTCTGAAACCAAACAGAATTATGCATCTAATTTTAGGGAATTTAAGTAACAGCTAACATTTATTTGAAGTCCACTACACATTATTTTTAAATTCTCATAAGTACCCTCTGAGGTAGTACTGTTATACCTTGTTTATGGGTAACGTATTTTCCAAGTTTAGAAATCTATGTTAACAATTTAAATGCCAATTTTAAGTACTAACTAGATGCGTACTGTGAGACGTAATACTGCATTAACTTTACTCTGTTTTTACAAGTATGGTTACAAGATATGCCATTGTAATCACATCACCTTATCCACATTAAGATTTTTTTTCCAAAATTGTTAATTTGGAGTAGTGATTAAATAACAAAAAAAATATTAAAGGACAAAATAATTTATAAGGGTATTGCTTTAATACATGAGAGCTTATTCTACTTTTAGACACTTCCTCAAATTGGATTATAATCCTGCAAATAGAGCCATGTCAATTCCCTGCTTAAAATCCATAAATGACTCCACATAGCATATGCCATAATCCAGACTAGTTTATCTTAAAATCAGGTCATTTTTAATCTGATTTCTACCCATAAATATGTATACATTTCCCTGTGTTTACTCTGTTATTATCTTGTATATGTCTGTGTCGATGTCTGTGCTCCACTCTGTGAAACACTTGTTCCTCACTCTGCCTCAATACCTGCTACTGGTCCAATGCTTAACTCAAGTATTCTGTACTCCAGAAGCTAAGGGGATAAGTTGGGAGGTGCCCTTTTTCTCACAAAAGACTTCACTACCTCTGTGCCAACATTATACTGTATTATAATTACTAGTTTGCTTCTGAGTTCCTTGTGCATTCCTTGAGGTGGATTGTGTGTTCATGATCCCTATATACTTAGCACCTAGGAGGAAATGTATGGCATATAGTAAACACTCTATGCACAGTAAACATTTGTACACTCAAACAGTAAATGTATTTCTTGTCCTAATGTTTTCCTTCCAGAGAAGTAGGTAGGTGTTCCTATCCTGTTCTTTCCAGTCCCAAATATATTCCTCTACTCCTATCCTTGCATCTTGAATATTTAATAGCGGCCCTGAATAATCCATTTCAGTCCAGGGCAAAGTGGATGACATCCTTGACTTCTCTTTTCCTTTCCATCCCCTTCTCCTTTCCTTCTTTTGTAACATGTCTAATCATGCATTTCCTGAAGGGATTTTCTAGATGGGGAAAAGTCTTATAATTACTGATATTCCCTTGGAGGTTAAAAATGTATCTTAATAGCATCATCCTTTACACTTGGTTATATTTTGTTTAGATTTTTAGGTTTTGAAGTTTGTTAATTTTATTTGGTCCATTTTAGGCATTGTGTGGCTGCTCAATTAACATACCAACAATGGATGGAAGAACCATACCTATGTCAATAAATGATATTGTGAAACCTGGTATGAGGAGAAGAATTATTGGATATGGGCTGCCGTTTCCAAAAAATCCTGACCAACGTGGTGACCTTCTAATAGAATTTGAGGTGTCGTTCCCAGATACTGTATCTTCCTCATCCAAAGAAGTACTTAGGAAACATCTTCCTGCCTCATAGAATGAAAAACTTTGTTACCCATATTTTGATAAGGCACTGAAAATCTAAAAGGACTGGCAGTTTACTAATATAGATGTGAATTCTGTATAAAGACATGTAAATTATTTTGAGGTTTCATTAAATTGCATGAATAAAGACGGGTCAAATAAATAGGCAAAAGGGATTTTTACAGTTAGAGATGAAGAGAAAACCATTCAGTGTATTTTATTTCATTTTTCCCAAAAGAAATTTTTAACATTTTGCTTACATGTAAAATTTGTTTTTGTGGAATAGAAAAATTTCTAATAAAGTATTAGACTAAGTACTTTATTTATTATATCTTTACATAATCGGTATGATAGTTCTCATTTATAATGGAAACTTAAATTCTTAAGTAAACTATACATGAGATATGTATTTCTAAAAAATAAAATCCCAAGTCATTCGGAAATGTGGTTAACTAGATTTAAATTACCATCTGAAATGATATATAGGGCTGGTACCCATAAAAGAATAACCTAATGCATATGTTTCAACATTTTTATTTTTAAAGTATGCTGTAGTATTTCCTAATAACATAATTGTGAAGTTCTTAAGGCAGACCTTTTCTTCATAAAACGAAAATTAGTGGCAGTTTACCTCCTGTGGAAATCCCAATTGCCTGAATTACTGATATTTTAGAAATAGGCTGTTTTTAAAATGCCATATGTAATTTTATGCAAGTTGACTATATATCTTGAACTTAATAACTTATAGGCACATTTTATTGTCCACTAGTTTAAAATAACTTGTTTAAAAACAAACGTGTTTTTAGAGGAAATACTGTTATTTGGAACTAATTTTCCAATTACACAGTCTTCTATAACTTAGTCATAATATGCTATATGTACTTATGCAATTTCCCTGAAAAGAATAAACTACCACTATGGTGTTCAACCAAAACATGGAGAAAATAAACACTAACTGCTGCTTACAAATGATGTTGCTACTACTTGTTATGCGTATAAATATTTTACTTTTTCATATGTTTAGATTGCATTTCTTAGGTGTTTTAAGTTTTTTAGTATATTATGTTTTAAAAATTGTTTTGTTTTCTGTTTATAACTGTAGTAAGAATGATGCCTTAAAGTTTTTGATTGAAAAGTAATTTTCAGGATGATATATATACTGGAACCTATCACGTTTTAGCAGATATAAAGTCTTTTAGAAATTCAATAAATAGGTTGTATCACCATATATTTACAGCTTTACTGGGATATAATTCACACGGTATAAAGTTTACCCTTTTAAAGTATACAGTTTAGTGGTTTTAGTATATTCAGAATTGTGCAACCACTTTTCAAGTCCAGAACATTGTCATCACCTGGAAATGAAATCCCATATCCTGTGCCCCTTTAGCACTCTCTTCGTACTCCTCTAGCACCTGGCAAACTCTAATCTGCTTTCTGCTTCTATGGATTGTCTGTTCTGGACATGGACATTTCATATAAATGGGATCAAGCAATAAATGGCTTTTTTTGTTCAGCTTCTTTCACTTAGCATAATGTTTTCAAGGTACATCCCTGTTGCATCATATGTCCATTTTTTGTTCCATTTTTATGACTGAATGATATTCTTTTGTACAGATATATCAAATTTAAGTTATTTCCTTTTTTTGACTTATGAATAATGCTGTTTGAACATTTTCATACAAGTTTTCAGTACATAACTTTTAAATTCTTGGGTATATACCTAAAAGAAAATTACTGGAAATAACCGTATACTTTAGTTGCAAATGAAAATGCTTAAAAATGCCAGAGAATTCAGAGATCATAGTTATTCTGTCTAATTCATAAATCATTTCTTTATAACATTGTTTCTCTGAATGACAGGTAACACTCTTTAGGGAAATATGAACATCATAGAAATTTTCTCACAGGTCTAAAAAGAGCTGAAAAACATCAGAGTGCGGAGTGTGGTTTCTATTTTAAATCCACTATCAGTTTTGGCAACTTTCTTGATTAAGCATTTTCTCCCAACTTAACTCTAATATTTATAGATAGGTAGATGGATAATCTTTGTATTAAAAAGCATATTTTTTAAGTACAGAATAATTCTGCTAGTAGTAAAAAGTTAATTTGCATTACTATATAAAAACTATACCAATATCTTTCTTGTATTAAAAGGATACTGATAATGCCTTAGCATGTAGTAAGTGCCCAATTTTTATTTGTTAAAGTTGAATTGATGTAAAAACAGAGTACTTACTTTTTTAATTATGAAAGTCTTTGTGATTTTAAGATGTTCTCTTTAATTTCAGCCAGGTTCTTAAATACCTGGAATAGCTTTGAAGGACTGTTAGATCCCAATAAGTTAATTGATCAGGTTGTTTATCTTTCCTACAAGAAAAACCACAAGTCAGTTATGTTTTTTAATTAAGATGTTTTTAGGCAAGATGTGCACTCTTCTGTTGTCACCAACCTACCACTCTTGTGTTACATAAGGCTATTTCATACATTTATTTCATTTGCCTCACTGCCTCTGCAAGCATGTGAGTTTGTGACCCTTCTTTTTTTTAGCTTATTACTCCAGCCTACCATTACTCTTTCTTGGGTGCTAGGAGCTTAAAATGTTCTTGCTTTTTCATTTTTAAGGGAAAAAAACTGTCATTTGACTAGTTATGATATATAAAAAGAAATTAATATATGTCATTGGACTCAGTAAATGGCTTGCTTAGAAGCAACTATCCTCATATTTCAAGGACTAATTACTTAACCTCACAGAGTTAAGGTTCAACACCACCCTTGAACTATTAACACAATGTTTATCCAGTAATGTGTAATGTATACATATATATATACACACACAAACACACGTTTTCTTTCCCCATTTATGGAAAATTATAGGAAAAAGTGTGACATGTTATTTTTAAATTATAGCCTAATATTTATTGGAATAGGTAAGTTTTATAGATGAAATATGTCAACTTAATATTTTTTGTGTGATATTTTTAATTCATAAAATTTTGGAGGGGGAAAGAATTTTAGAGATCACATTTTTCTAGGTGAGGAAGTAAACCCAGAGAGACTAAGTGATTTGGCTGTGGCTGAAGAGCAAGCTTATAAAGGAATTCTGAAAATACTTCTCATATTCTTGATACTGCTTTCCACCAGTATGTCAAGATGACCCCCACTGCTAAATTTCCAAGGCTAGGTCAAATTCTGTTTAAGTACACTTGCCTAGTTCTTTGTGCAATCTGTGTAATTAAGCATATTTTAAATATTTTGAGTCATTTATGAACATGTAGAATATAAACATAACTTGATGGTAACTGAACAGTTGTGAAAGAAACTATAAAAACTGGCTATTTTTTTAAAAAGGAAATTAAGAACCCAGAATTCAAGTGTATCTATCATTTATTTTTAAAAGATGTACTCCAATATTATTCTCAAAATACTGTTGGGCCACATCAGAGCTTTTTAGATAAACAATGTAAATTAAGATTTTTCTAAGAAAAGTTACTATCCAAAATGTGTGAAATTATATCATTGTAAAAAGAAAAGGAGAGTGAGAGAGAGAGATGACAGGAAGGAGAGGGAAGAAGGAAAAGGGAAAACAGGATGAAAAAAATCCTGCATATTTTATTGAGAAAAATTTGTAATGAGTAATAACATATAGAAACTCTACAATCATTTGCAAATACAGTAGTCCCTCGCAAATTAAAAATTGATAGGTACCTCTTCTCTGTAGCTTTTAGAGTTTTGTAGTAGTTCTTGAGCCATTATAGAGATAATTTTAAAAGGAGCCAACTGGAGGTTGGAAAATGAAAAGGAGAATGTAATGAGTGGCAGAGGAAAATGAGTTTTGGATGCAGCCTGGAACATTAGAAAACCAGAGGCAACTCCACTCCTGTTTCTAAAGAGCTGGCACTGAGATGACTATAAAAAATCTGGACAGAAAGTATTGTGACATTAAGTTATAATAGGTTCTGTGTTAGAGAGGAGTTTCAGAAATATATTTATCTAATAGTTAGAAAGTTACACAATATTTTTGGTCTCAAGTATGTGTTTCTCATCTCTAGGACTGGGACTGGAAGGGTTCGAGAGATGAGATTAACTGAAAATCATAAAACCTGAAAAGTATTAGACATTTGGAATGAGGTTAGGCTTCTTTTTTATACTTAATTGCCTTCTTAATATGCCTATTATGCCTAACAAAGCAAAAGTAAATTTGCAAGCATCATATTGAAGCTGTGAGAGTGGGAGATTGTGAAATATCTCCTTGCTCCTAAGCAAGGAATAATCAGCTATATAGTATTTGTTTCTAGTTAAATATGTAGACTGTCATTCTCCTTATTCAATACAGTCTTCATTTTGGTGAACTTAAAACTGACTTAGGGTTCTGCCTAAATTATTTTTTTCCATAACGACTTAAATTCCTCAAGGAATCATTTTCCTACTATGCTTTCAGAAGCCTAACCCTCTCAGGTGGGAAAATTATATTTTACCATGGTTTTTATAAATTACACTCACTTATTAAAGCAACCTTGAAAATTGGCACAGCCAATTTCAGAGTGCTAACTTCTCAATAGGAATAGTTACACATTATATGCCCTTTTCAGAGAATATCTGATGCATACATTTTGGAGAAAAATTTTTAGGAGTTATAATTGGAACTCTGGACTGATAACGGGGTCTTAGTATTATTTAAAAATTAGTTGTTGGATTATTTAGCTTTATTCCCATTAAGTTGAAAGAGGGTATGACCAAGTGGGATTTATTGTAGGTGTGTAATTCTGGTTCAGTATTTGTAATTTCTTCCCAATACTTCATTGCTCCTACTCAACTCCTTTTGCTGTTCTTGGCAAATACATAATGTTTCCATATGTTATAGTCCTGACTATACACACACGCACACACACAAACACTATATAAATATGTATGTATGTATATTTTATATATATATATACTATCTTATAATACATAATTACCTTTACCAGTGCTCTTTGCTCGTGTGGATTTGAATTACTATCTAAGTCCACTTGCTTTCAGCTTGAAAAACTTCTGATAGTATTTCTTGTAAGGTGGGTCTGTATTCAACAAATTATCAGGTTTTCGTTATCTGGGGATGCCTTCATTTTTGAAAGGTAGCTTTGCTGGATGTAGAATTCTTCGTTGAAAAGATTTTTCTTCTTTGAGCACTGAATATGTTGTCCAACTGTGTGGCCTCCATTATTTCTGGTTATAAGTCAGCCAATCTTTACTGGAGTTCTTTTATAAGTGATTAGTCATTTATCTCTTGCTCCTTTCAGAATTTTCTCCTTGTCTTTGGCTTTTAGCATTTTTGCTATGATGTCTGTGGATCTCTGCACTTATCCTATGTGGAGTTTATTTAGCAATGTGGATTATATAGATAAATATTTTTCAATAAATTTGGGAAACTTCTAGCCATTATTTCTTAAATTTTTTATCTGCTTTCTTTACCTCCTCTCCCTCTGATATGTATTGCATATATTAGTGCACTTAATGGTGTTCCACATTTCTATGAGACTCTGTTCATACTTCTTTTTCTCTTTATTCTTTGCATTGCCTCATCTTTTAATGTATCTCCAACTTTGCTAATTCTCTTTTTCTGCCAGTTCGTATCCACTGTCGAGCCTCTTTTGTGAGTTTGTCATTTCAGTTTTTGTCTTTCTAGGATTTCCATTTGGTTCTTTTTTTGTTTGTTTGAGAGGGCATCTCTCATATTTATTGATCAAATGATTGTTAACAACAATAAAATTCTGTATAGGGGACTCAATGCACAATCATTAATCAACCCCAAGCCTAATTCTCAACAGTCTCCAATCTTCTGAAGCATAACGAGCAAGTTCTTACATGGTGAACAAGTTCTTACATAGTGAATAAGTTCTTACATAGTGAACAGTGCAAGGGCAGTAATGTCACAGAAACTTTTGGTTTTGACCATGCATCATGAACTATAAACAATCAAGTCAGATATGATTATTCACTTGATTTTTATACTTGATTTATATGTGAATCCCACATTTCTCCCTATTTTTTTAAATAAAATGCTAAAGTGGTAGGTAGATGCAAGATAAAGGTAGAAAACATAATTTAGTGCTGTAAGAGGGCAAATGTAGATGATCAAGTCTGTGCCTATAGACTAAGTATTAATCCAGTATAGACAAGGGCAACAAAACATCCACAGATGCAGAAGATTTCTCTCAAAACGGGGGGTGAGGTTCTAACCTCACCTCTGTTGATCCCCAATTTCTCACCTGATGGCCCCCCTGCGAC